GATGTTGATGGGGCCAAATTTGGAGATCCAGTACGGCTTTGCAATATTGCAAAGTGAGATGGCCAGCAGTGTTGTGTATCAAGAACTCATGTGAAATCAAGAAAAGCATAAAACGCCTCATCCCACCCAATGCCATATGCAGGAGGATTCAACCTCATCATGATAAAAAGATAGGTATACCCAAGCCATGCACTAGCCTCCTTAGCATTAGTCACAGTGCCCAAGACCACTTTTGCATTTAAATTATCTTTCATAGAGCTAATAAATTGCAATCAGAAATATCAACAAAAAAGAAAGAAGGGGCATAAAACCAAATATTAGATACATATATCCCAAAATTTCCAAGGAGGGCAAGCAAATAAAGCCTTTTCATATAAGATATAAACAACAAAGTAACTATTCTTTTAAAACTTAGCACACAACAAAAGAAATATAGACAAGTTGCAGAAAAACTAAGTCAGCAGCAACACAGCAACCCCAGACATCACAAAGAAGCCTGGATTAGAGTAAGGGCCTGTTTGGTGCAGTTTGTTGGAGCTTTTACTTTTTATAAACTATTCATGAGTGATGAGTTTAAATTTTCATTTAAGAGAAAATTTAAAAGTTGCTTTTAAAGATAGGAAAAAGTAAGTAAAAAGTGAGTAAAAAGGAAGTTTATAAAAAGTTTGAATTTGAAGCTTTTGATGTTTTATTGTTTAGGGTCTTTTTAAAGTAAAAAAAAAAATATATTTAAAAGAGTAAGTTTTTAAGAGGAAAATTTAAACTTATGAAACATGAATAGTGTCAAAAAGTTGAAGCACTTAGGAAGCTGCACCAAACGAACCCTAAGCCAGATTAACCCTTAGTTTTTAATTTGGAATATAAACTTTAGCCCTTTAATTATCCAGGAGCTTGCCATCTTATACCGTTACATTCAAATAGCATGTTTTCATGTATTCTAAATATGTAATCAAGTGTTTAGTATTTCCTTGTCATCTAGCATCATTATGGTTTTTCAACCTTAAAAGACTGCATATGCATATCCAAAGCAGCTATCCTATGGAGTGAGCATATGTTGACTAGAAGCCAAACACTAAATAGCCAAACCTTTGCAGAAGAATTATTTAGACCATGACCAAGGCAATAATGCAAAGATAAAGTCCACTAACAGAAAAATTATATGAAATCAAAATATATATATAGATGATAAAGGGTTGAGAAACTCTGAGCATGGACAACATCTTTCACTTGTAAATGAATATTTCCAAATTATTTTCAAATATAAGGTGGTAGGGCCTCCACATCTAAAAAAGCTTCAAAATTCTTAAGCCCATCAAACTATAAGCAAGTGCTTGACTTTCTATAGGGAGTTGACTTGCTAACAACCTTAGGTAGTAGGCCAGTTTGTCATGAGAAGTAATTATGATGCCTTCAACACCTTTGTCAAACTAAGGTCTACTTGCCCTTCCAAAGATCTAAAATAGACATCAAAAGAATGCCAATTGGTCATGCACTAAACTAAAACCTATGCAGCACATTTTAAATAGAATACAAAGACTCAGCAGTACCTGCATATCATCAAGCATGCCCAGATCACGCCACCCACTAGCCTTTGGATCATACAACTGGGTACCTTAGAAGAAGACACTAATGAGATAAAATTTGACCACCAAGGCAAAGGAAAATATAGCTTGCCCAAAAGGTTAGGATATGCACTTCTCCTAATTTCTACCATAAACTGAAGAATCATCCTTCTTTTAATGCCTTTGTACCAAAAGTTTTACCATTTTACACATTATAAAATTCAAAGGTCATTTTTGAAGGATAATTACCAATGAATGAATTCTTCTTGAAATAAAAAAGAGCAAATATGGCAACCAGTTGCATATAGCCCGTTCTTAAATTAATGTTTCAATGTAATGTTGCCATCATAACATTTATTTATCAAATTATCAACTATGATCATCATGCTTTATAAGCTTGTATTGCAACATCCATCTTTTAGACGAAATGACCCTTCTATACAGCCTCCAAAAGACTAGTTATCAAAGTCAAAACCATAAGCAATCAGATTGAAGCAAAATTTTACACTTGCAAAATGTTTTCAGATTTAAGCGGAGGTTGATGTCACTACTGGAAAACTGGGCAAAAACGACAAAAACATATTCGACAGCCAAGTAGCTGTCGAATAAAAGGCCATATTCAACACCATTACTGTCGAATAAGGTTAATTGTCGATGATAATCGACTTTTTGGCTCATAATCGACAAAAAACTTATTCGACAATTATTCTGTTGAATATATGATTTTATTCGACAGCCAATTGGCTGTCGAATATGTATAATCAACAGCCAACAAGTTGTCGATTATGTTTTTTATATATTCGACAATATTGCTGTCGAATATATAGGAAATGTCGTCTTTTCCCTTGTATATTCGACAGCATTATATTCGACAGCAATGCTATCGAATATACTCAACATTAACCCCCCCCGTCCCCCCTTTCTTTCCCCATTTCTTCTTTTTCCCCTGTGGCAGATTTGGTTCATTTTCTCCGACCCTGTTGTTGCCGGTGCCACTGGATTCTGGCTTCTTGCCATTGAGCCCCCTACTGTCAGAATATCTGGCCGGTGAGTTGGCCCCTCTCTACGCAGATCTGGTGTTAATTTTTTTTCCTTTGATTTACATTCGGGCATTTGTAGATTTCCTTGTAGATCCATGCATTTTGGTGCAAGATCCATCACCTCTAAGCCTTCACGTGCCTCCATCCTGCCTTTTGTAAGTTGCAGCACTCTCTATTTTTTTTTGTTTTTTTTTTTTGTTTCTTTCCTTATTTTTTCCTTGGATTTTAGTTTACAAAACTTTAATTTCGTTTTTGGTATGTCAAAATCTAGCTTTTACTGCCTTCATTGCCTCCACAACATTACGGTCCCCATTGACAGAGGTAATTGATATTTTTGTGATTTTTTTATACAAAATTTTATTGTTTTATTTGTAGATTAGTGTAGATTATTATTATTATTGTATAAATTATCAGTAAATTGCTGTTATTTCTTTCAAAATTTTAAGATTGAAATTTATACGTTAATTACTTGAATAGTTTTTTTTATAGTAAATTTGTATACACAAAATTATGGATTTTAGATTATTAAATTTGAAATTAAGATTGAGATTGAGGTTTAAATATCTTAAAATAAAGTGATATTTATTTTGAATTCTATATTTACAAATTTGTTATTTATTTCAAATTAGCTCAGTTTAAGAGATTGGTATTGAGATTGAGATATGCATTATTATTGAATTAAAATGATATTTAAATTGAATTTTTATATATCAAATTATTAAGATTAAAATTGATATGGTAATTAAACTAGAGTACTATTTATATTTAATACTATATTTACAAATTTGTTATTTATTTCAAATTAACTCAGTTTAAGAGATTGGTATTGAGATTGAGATATGCATTATTATTGAATTAAAATGATATTTAAAT